CTCAACGGCCACTCGTACCTGTCCAGCTACATCTCGCTGTTACTTCGCGCCGAGCCCTACCCCACGTCGCGATATGGCCAGTGTATGCAGCCCAACAATATCATGGGCATCGACAACATTTGTGAGCTAGCGGCGAGACTACTGTTCTCGGCTGTGGAATGGGCGAGGAACATTCCCTTCTTCCCGGACCTTCAGGTCACGGATCAAGTGGCACTGTTGAGACTCGTGTGGAGCGAACTGTTTGTGCTGAACGCGTCGCAGTGCTCCATGCCTTTACACGTCGCACCGCTGCTGGCGGCGGCAGGACTTCACGCGTCGCCGATGGCGGCGGACAGAGTGGTAGCCTTTATGGATCACATCAGGATATTCCAGGAACAAGTCGAGAAGTTGAAGGCGCTCCACGTGGACTCTGCGGAGTACAGCTGTCTCAAGGCCATCGTGCTCTTCACAACAGGTAAGGCCCTGCCTTTTTGTTTGCCGTCGCCGGTGTTATCAGAATATTAACCGCCCACTCACCGTGCCCAGAGTTTAATTTCCAATTACACGGAGTGTAAGTTGTATAAACCAGGGATGTCCAAGCAGTTCAAAGTCGGGTTACCGTCAAAAGTGGAAAGCAGTGACGGCATGGTAAAAGCACGAAGCAATAGTGTCGAAGTATAAATGATGAACCACTGCAAATGGGAACCTTCAATACCTACTCGTGGCCTTCCCAATTCTTTTCACTTTCTAAGCTGGTGACCGTCGCTTTGACCCATATTAAATTTTGGGTCTGTTTCAGGCTGTTGAGTGACACGCATTCCTTTTCGTGTTGCTGCTGACTAGCACTCTTCCATCAGCGGAACGCTCCGTCCATCTTCGTGCTAGTTTTCACTGGCCAATAGATTTCTAGTGACATCAAGAAAATTGTAGATCTGATCATATGAAGTCTTCTGTACAATGGGAATATTTACACCGATTATAGAGTTTTCATACCAGCGAGTTTTGGACATAGAGCGTATTTTCCAACGTAAACGTTCAGCAGTAAGTTCTCTGCAGAAATGTTGTACTATATACTTTATATTATGAGCTTGATTCTATTCCATTACAAGCAATGTTCCATACCTGCCAAATTGAAGTAATCCCTATTTTGAGGTACCCCAGTGCATGAAAGCATGTAAACAATAACCTGATGACGTCAGACGAATATGTAATCAGGTTACAGTAGCCATATAATAGGCTGGAATAATAACAATAATAATAATAATTACAAGGACCTTCTCATAGAAATACAGAGAATGTGGAAAGTGCAAGCAAAAGTAATTCCAATAATTATAGGAGCAACAGGAACTGTCTCCAAGTCACTCAGAAAATATTTGGCCAACATCCCGGGTGAACACGACATTAGGGAACTTCAGAAAACTTACATTTTAGGATCTTCATACATCATTCGAAAGACGCTGCTGTAAAATATGTAGTCGTCTCTAACAATAAAACTATATAATACATGTAACACGTATTAAAAAACAAAACGTATTTCGGAAATAGCTGCTGCTCTATGTACCTCAGGGGCAAGGTTTGTCTCGGGTACATGGAAGTAAATACCCCTATAAAGTGGTGAATAGATAAAATAATAATAACTACAACAACTCAATTTCACACATTGCTACGTCTCTTATTAAAGCTGATCCAACGTTTTGAAAGAACCGAATGTGATCTCTGGTGATAAATTGGTCGATTATTTTAAAGGTAACGTGTAAATACATACTTCTTAATGTATCCGGGTGTTAGAACATGCTTGTCATTCGAAAATCGCGTTCATATTCCCCCTCAAAATATATTACGGAACTTCCCATGACATAGGGAAATGTTGATTCTTGAACTTCAGATTATGAGAGCTATACAAAAGTTGTTCTTCCAGAACTACCTGGCGTTTTTAAGCGACGCAGCTGCATAGTGTCTTGAAGTATGCATGACTCAAGTTCAGTTGCCATGAAGGTCCTTGCTGTCATATATATATATATATATAAACAAATCACCAACTGTCCCGTTACAGCGCATCTCACCTTAAGAGGTGACAACAGGTGTGTCAAAGTAACCCTCCGTCTGCACCGACTGGACTCACGTCTTTCGGCAGCAAGTGATCTCGTCGGTAAGGTTCCACCCGCTGGAAAGTGTCGTGCAGGTATATATTTTCAATTTTCCTGAGCTTTTAGCCGAAGTACAATAAAATACAGGGAAAATTTTAAAACGTATTACGTAGTACCAGATCAACTTCATACGTCTGAAATAGGCCACGGTAACTTCCACATAGTTCCCTGTGCATACTACCGTACTAAATTAGCTGTTACATTATCACAACATTTGGAACTCGAAGGTTAAAATGCGTGGGCCCACAGCTGAAGAAATCCGTTCAAATACGTTTTAAGTACCAGTAACATTTCCAGTAACTCGTTTACCAAATTGCCAAGTAAAGTGTCCTTCGTTCCAGTAAGACTCTGAATTATCAAAGTCATTACGGATCGATTAAAAAACATCGTTGTGGTAACGAACACAGTGACCAATAATTCAGTTATGTTACAAATACAAACGCTTCCGGGCCAAAGTGTAATGAGATTAATTTATTTCCTTAATCTGCGCTTGAAATGAAATTGGCAAACGTTCAGTGGCATATTCCAAGGCCTTAAAATAATGCTTTACATGTAGAATTTGAGGTTTTGACTGCGGTGGATATGAAAATGGCACCTCTGAAACATCGATACGCTTCTACCAGACTACACAGTGCTACAACCCAGAAGACAGTCATCTTCAAGTTATCAATTCGCCGTGCGCATGTGCACACACGCGGCTTTGAGCAAGCCAATTCTAGTTTCATATATTTATTTCAATCCAGAGATGAAATTGTGCGAAAAATATCCGATCTACGCATAGCCTCCCAAGTGCTTTATTCCCTTCGGGGTTTCCGACTAAAATTTTGTATGCATTTATCATCACCCAATTCGTGTTGTGTCTCACATGAAGGTCATCCCTCTTAACAACCTACTGAATGTATTTAGTGAGAAGTCGTGTTTAGGGATGACTAATTTCTTCATGCAGAGGTACATTATACCCGGAGAGAATGTTTCTGTGGAAGAAATTCATATCATGGGGATCTTGATTCGCCTGTCACCCAAATTGAGGTCATGCTGTCCGCAAGTCACTGTTAGGAAGCAGGAGGGAAGAACTTTTTAATTTCAAATTTCTCTTTCGATCATTCTCAGAAGGAACAGTCATGAAAAATCATGGTCAGAATTGACTGCCTCGGGATTTGATTCATGTATCTTCCGAATCGCAGGCAATCTTGTTACTCACAAGCTACCGCTCTCGCCGAGGAAAGATAGTGCTTGATCACTGAACCACATCGCACCTGAAGTTATAATGCAACGTGATGTCGTGAAGAGAAGCCACTGTCAAGTTAACCACGACTGCATTTACCACAGCAACCAGGACCGACAGACGAGGGGCTAACATTCTTACAGCGGCGGGAGACAGGGTCGTGACTACCTCGAGTCACGAACTCGATGCTTGCAAGTTCACTTGACTCACAACGCTGGCCAACCGGCGACAGCCAACTGCCAAAACCTCCTACGTTTTACTGGCGTGTATTTTCTCTCTGAATGCTGTCTAAAGCTTCTTGATGCGAGACATTTATTAAAAATGTTTGTTTAAGACGGGTTGTGTTTTAACTAGGAAGTTGCGTTGATTGTCCGGACGAATTAAAAATAACTTAGTTCACATTTAGTATTTAGAATATATCTGTCTAGCGGTTACCTGTGGGTTATGATATAGCGTCACCAACATTCAACCATTACATTTGAAATTTGAAGCCGTTGTAATCAAGGGGACATAAAAACATCGATATTGGGTTGATATCATTTGTGACCAATTCCAGAGGAAGCAGTGCATTGTCTAATCTTATGTTAACTTACGCCTTCTCGCCTCTTCAGGCTTCGAGGTCCCCATTACTTCTAAGTTAAGCTCAGAGACAGTCTGCTCTGACTGAGGTTTTCCTCAGTTCCTGTAGATATATGCCAGAATAGTTTTGTGGTTTACGTCACGACGGATTCCTTACACATCCTTTCTAATTATTTATTTACTGTAGTTTGGCTTTCAACCGAAAGCCGAAGTTATACGTTATAATTTATATCCTATAAGGCAGCCATCTTCATTCTAATCGCTGTGGAAACAGATATCTCAGCAAATTGTGATTTAATCTGTTTTCGTTTCACTTGGTAATATCCCTGTTTATTCAAATTTTGTGTGACTTGATGTATACCTAAACTGTACCTTGATTTAGGTGAAATCTTGATAAAGTGGGACTCACTTCGAGTTATACTACCCGCTGAACCCCTGGACTGGCGACAGCCACTATCCGCGGTTGTCCATGCAAATGATGGCCTCCCTGGAACGCGACATGAACGTACCCCCACGAACACCGTGATTTGAGGGTTTCAAATACGGAGTGAGAAGGAGACAGATTTAAATGAGTGTGAAGGCGCGCATTTACTATACAGTCGCCACTGAAATGTGGTTTGATTTAGTTGTTTTATGATCAAATACGCTGCAAAGGTCGGCAAAAAGATTTGCAGATAAAAACGATGTAAGGCGAGTGAGTATACACAACAAAAATAATAGCCACGATATAATAAATGTCATAAATGATAAATACGCTAGTGGGAGAATACCAACGTAACACACAAGAATGCAATGTAATAAAAACAAAGCAGAATGTTGAGAATACAGTAGTATCAGTCCAACACAATAGAACTGGTTTTCAAATGCGATTTCCATCACACGTGAACTCCATCTTCTTCTTCTTTTAGGGATTAGGTCGTATGGCGTATGCCAATTTAGAATTAACTTCTGAAATTATGGGTCGTTTTAAATATTTAGCAGGACTCTTGTCGTGGCTAATCGCAAGCCCCCTGCCTCTTAAGTCTTATAAATCAACGCGTATATTTACTGGCTGTGAGTGACAGAATCATGGTTCCAGCCTGGTGCTATGTCTATCTAGTGGTTTAGAAAGTTCATTGGTGTGACAAGCTGATGAGTTTCCAGATTCACTGTGTAACGATGTGTAAGACGCAGAATTTTGGAAACTGGTACAAGAAATTAAATCGTATATCTGAAAGGGTAATTTCGTGTAAATTGTTTTATTATTAACTTTGAAGAAAGCATGTAGCAGGAATTGGGGTAATTACAAATGCATACATAAATCTTGTCGGAAGACCTGAAGAGACTGTCAGTAGCCGAGACTTAAGGGAACAACATTAACGAATCTTGCATAAAATTTCGTATGAGTGTGTGATTGGACTCAAGTGGCTCAGGACATGGAGGACAGGCGGGTTGTTGTGAACAAGGCAATTAACCTCCCGGTTCTGTAAAAGACAAAGAATCTCTTTACCAGCTAAGCGACTATTAAGTTTACAAGAACTCCGC